CCGGCGCTGACAGCCGCCTTAGTGGGGCACTGGGTCAGCGGCGGGAGCTGCCACCGCCGCCTCAACAGGAACTGCAGGCAAGTTTAGTTCCAAGGCATATTTGCCATGAGCTCAATCCTGCCACAGTAGCACCGGCAGCAATGTCAAAGCTGCTTAGAGCTCGTTTCTTTTCCTTACTTTATATGTGCAAATGTTGCATTTTCCCCCTCAGGAAACACTGCCCCATGCAAAGGGTCGCTTGGAAAGTTTTAAAATACACAGAAGAAACCTCTTTCTGAGGTTTAGATTTTACACCACTGTTAAAGACTCTCATGTCTCAATTTTAATGCACAAGCAATAAATGTGACTTTTTTTTAATACTAAAAAAACCCCCAACTTTACAAAACCAGTTTTTCAATGCATTTTGTTTCAGGCCACTGACATGGAAACTTGGGCATTAAGTCATACTTCAGTGATAAATAATCTACTTCCTTGTTTTTCACCCCTGGTGACACTAAGCAGTGCTCCAAAACAAATAAATGAGAAAAAAACCCCACCCCTACTCTCCCCTCAAAAATAACCCCAAACCAAAACACATTGCCACCTGCAGTTTTAGACCACAGTGAGGCAGTTCCAAGCTCCAGCTGGAGTTCACAAAGCAGGATGAAGGATCACGAAACACTGTCATCAAGTGACAGAACTTCACAGAAAAGGAGGAAATTTAAGAGGCAGATTAGGCTGCATTAGAGAACATCACAAGCTGAGGGAACATCAGAGGGAAACAAGGACAAGTAATAAGGACTGAGCACAGACTAAGCAAAAAGATCTAAGTGTAAAACAAAGTTAACTCAGGTTCAAAATAACATAAAAAGAACCTTGTGGATTCAACCTTACACACATTAAGTGTTAAACTTAAAACTCATCACTGTTACTGATAAACAAGAAGGAGGAACTGAAAATTAGTATTAACTGGAATTTAAGTACACCATGCTTCAAAGCATTAAGCACTTTAACCCCAGGATGAAGAGTTATGCTGGTCCTTTACTCAGCATGGGCAGTGCTTTGAGATTAGAGAGTCATTTGCACATATTAAAAGTGCTTTAGAAATAAAAAAATCCATGAGGCATTGTCATGGAACAACAGCCCACTTCCCTCCCACCACCTCCATAAAGAAATCACTGCTCAATACCAGTTTAAGTATAACTTGAAAGTTTTAATACTAAGATCTTCCCGTTTCTCTGAAGCTCAGAAGCCTGCATGCTAACTCACAACGCCTGGCAGCTGTGGGTACACAACACTCAAGCCTGGTCTGCACATATGCTCGTGTGAAGGCGACGGTTACGGTGCTGCAGAAGCTTCCTACGCTCGTAGCAGCTTGCTAGCAACACCACTACAGAGTTTTGATCTTTTCCAAGAACTGGCCCTACGCTAGTGAGACAAGGAAGAACACTGCTTCCAATACTTTCTTAGAAGCCAGCTTTAATTTTCTTCCCCATCGAAGCAGAGCCTGCCATGCTAAGCAATCTAGCCCAATCAAGGCAAGGCTGGTATTTGTATAAGCTTAAATGTTTAATCAGACACAGTTGAGAAACCTTTCTAGAATTTAATATAAAAACATTTGACATTTTTCATTAATGTAAAGTTGTGCACATGTTGAGAAAATTGTCATCTGAAAGAAAAATCGGTCTTCAAATATCTTTATTGGAAGGCCATGCACTGCCTTCTGTTACTGTATTTCAAATCACTGTACATTTACTTTGAAAACACTGTCTGCATTTTCTAGTACAAAAAACTAAAAACTGTTTCAGGAATGTAGAGAAATATTCAACTTAAATAGCGAAAAAGTGCACCATAATTACTGCTGCACTGCAGTCATTTCTGCATTTCCCATTTCTTAAATAACTATCCTGTTTTGATAACACACAATATAAAGAGCAATTATGAAAAACTGAGACATTTAAATACACTAAGTTATTGAGAATAACTTGTGGGCATGGGGTAACCTATCATAGGAGCAGCACCAGTGGCAGGGTAGGCGTACTGCTGCTGGTTCATGCCATTGTGCATGTTGGCAATGTTACTGCCGTACTGCTGCTCGTAGCCGTTCTGGTACGCTCCTGTGGGGTTACCGCCGGCCCTGAAGCCGGCCTGCATGCCTGCAGCTGCAAAGCCATTCCCAAAGGGAGTTCCATTGCTGAAACTCTGGGCGCTGTAAGCCCCGTTTTGGGTTTTTGCTCCGAAGTCTCTCTTGCCTAGCGCCCCATAGGTTCTCTCAAAGTTCTCCCTCTCTCTAAAACTACTAAATCCACCCCTTTTGCCCGCAGAGTATCTGTCACGTCGGTCACCTCGGGAACGACCTAGTGAAAGAGACAAGACAGTTATGTGTATTATAAAGGCTCTTCAGTTCTGTTAAGGAGCATTTATTTCACGTCCCAACAATTCAAACCTACTATAAAAGCTTTCCAGGCGCTTGCTGGACTCCAGTTAGATAAAGCTTTTGAGGAGTCATACACAAGTTGTGGCATCAAGGCAAAAAGTGACTTTTACCTTGCCAGCAGGACACTTGGGTCCATCTCTCTTTCCAAGCCATAAGAGACAAAGCCACAAAACTGAGTCCATGAGTATTTTATCTCAGGGCAAGTGAGAAGTATCTCTTTGGCCTGCCCTAGCCATAGGGGCACCACAGCATAGGCTGGGAGCATCTGGGTGCTGTTTTTTTGCTTTTGCGTTAATAAATACCTTCTGAGCTCACAGTAACTGGTAACTAAACCACCTTCCACATTTACTTTGAAAAGAGTCTGAAGGTGGAATCTGAAGTTTCCATTTTGTTCTGAGAAAAAAAGCCATGCACCAAGATAAAGAACAGCCCTTACCTGAACCTCTGTCTTCAACCAGCTGGAGCAATTTGGGGTTGATGGCTTGATTAGCCTCCCGAAGCACAGAGATGAGGTCATTTACTTGCTTAATATTGTTAGGAGTAAAGAATGTGTATGCTGTGCCTGTTTTGGTACTGCGGGCAGTTCGTCCAATTCGGTGGATATAGTCCTCTGAGGAGTTAGGGTAGTCATAATTGATGACAAATTTCACATCTTCCACATCTGTAAAGTGTTGCAGTGTGGCAAAAAGCGAGGTACAAAGTTTTGCACACCACAACAGCCAAATCGAAGATAAACATTAGACAAGAGTATTTTAAAGGGAATAATGGCTGCAAAGAACAGTGTTAGAATCATCCATTTCTGCAAGAGCATAGTGGAAGAGAAAAAGTTACGCACACTCCGTCTGATCCCGTTTCTCATCACCCACCCTGTGATCCAAAACCTTACCATAAAGGAGTGTGCATTTGCTTGGCATTCCCAACTCAAGTGTCCCCTTTACAAATCATCAAGTGACATCTGAAAGCTTCTTGCAGTAGGGCCACTAAAGCTCACAGCAGCCTCTTCATGTGCTCATTTGAGGACCTTAGAGTAAAAACATACAAGGTCCTTCACATACACACTCATTAGAAGCTCAAAAAAAAGGGGCCACACTGCTCGTCTTGCCAAGACCTTTGAACTGCAGCTGCAAGAAAAACATACCTGTCCCCCCAAAGTCACCAAGTTGTTTTTATGCACTGTGTCTTGTCTAGGCAAGCGCTTCCAAGAAGCCAGGGTTCACTTGAGAATGGGTCTCTCTCTGGCAGGTCTCGACATGACGACT